AATGTAATGGAGCCATTGCAACCCTTGTGCGACCAACTGATTTCATAGAACAGTTTGATAAATTTGTTCAAACCGTAGAGCGAGTCTGTACTGGAGGAAGACAAGTAAATGAAGAAGATTTCGACGAAAAATTCCCAAAAGAGTTTATGGCGATATCATTTTCGAGGCAAACTCTTGGACAAACCGGTGACGGTCACTTTAGTCCCATTGTCGCAATGGACAGAGATACGAGCTCTGTGCTGATGTTTGACACGGCAAGGTATAAGTATCCGCCATATTGGATTTCTATTAAGCTTCTATTTCAAGCGATGTTACCACTCGACATTGCAACAGGGAAGAGTCGTGGATACGTGGTCGTCAAGGCAAAACAGACTGACATGACATAGATGATAATAATGGTTGTGCGGCGAGTGTTCAACTCGATATCTCACGGAGTTAGCGCAGCGAACGATATCGGAAAGTTTATATTTCCATCCCACTTAACTTACTACAGGGGCACCCAACGGATTGTTTCGGTGGAATATCTGCTCGGAAGGCCTATAATCGCCTCAGATATTCGGTTAGGGAAATGTCATCTCGAACTTTATGGGAAAATCAATGCCTTTTGTTTTCGGAGAGATAAAAATGTCGTTTTGGGTATACAAAAATAGGTCAGCTAGGATTTTCAGAAAGGCAAATTCAGCTCATAAATTCGGGTAATAAGATTTCAATCCCTAAAATGTTCTCAAATTTGGAAGTTCAGCTAACGTATCCGAACAGATACATTTTTCTTAGCGTTTAAAAATAAGCCATTAATTAAACTGCACAAGCAGCACAATTATAAAGTAAAAACGACGTTCCGACACCTACAGGAAAATTTTGTCGTTGGGTACCCCTGTTACTATAGCCTATACAACTAAAAGTTTCCGAGTTTGATACGGCCTCTCCGTGAAATTTTTCGCAGGGATCACACCGTCGTGATTATTTTCTTTGGCAAATATTTCAGTCAATTATTACACAAAAATTTATGAAAATATTTACTCCGTCACAGCTCAGTTGCTGCTCCACGATGGTTATTTATAAATAGTAGTGGCATTTTAATTCATAAGTATTCTTAGATATTGATTGATCATGCGTCCGTAATTTGATTAGTACGCATGGCATATCTACAGTGTTTTGGCCGTAGCTATGTCACGATATATTTAGTCATTTCAAGCTAGTTTTTCCGATGGCCAAAATCACCTTCAAATCGAAGGAAACTTTACAACAATAGTATGTTGTTCGTCTATCGACATCGATGAGGACCACGACATTCTATAAGTTTATAATGGATGGTTTACGTGTGTCTGGAGGCCAACCGCGGTCAAACGCATCGTAACAACAAACACAAATAAACTACACCGACAACACTACCGACTACACCGTGTTTTAAACACGTCTAACGTTTTTGGTAAACGTCCTAAAAAATGGTAAATCAACAGAATGCTGGAAATATGCTAAACTTTGTGTTTGAAAAGTCTAAACTTCTCCTTTTACCTACTTTTGTTTCCTTTCGCAAATTACTATCTAGGTTCCGATTTCGGATTGTTATCATGCCGAGTTTTCCTTTAAAATTTGGCGCGGGAAATTGGCGCGCGGGCGACCAGAATTTACGCCTTTGTACATTCTCGAGCATTTGACCGCGGTGAAGTCCGGAGGCGGTTAATATAGTCTATAAAAGGTAGATAAACGCCAAGGAAATTAATTACTGTGTTATTGCACTTGGTTTTTTTCTGTTTTTTTTTACGCAGTGTTCATTTCCGGCCACACACCATCGTCAGAAATAAATAAATAATTATGACCGTAAACTCTAGACGAGATTGCTTCCCGCCTGAGCTCTTTCGCGGACAAAATTATAAACCTACTAGTAATACGTGACTCGCAGGCCCTCGCGAAGCTTTTGTTGCCTAGTAACGGGCACGCCTGCGATTTGATCTGCAAGGTTTCCAAGAATCGCTGCAAGGTTTCTGAGAATCGCCGGAGGAACGCCGTGTTTTTGCTATGCCACCGGATTTTGGTTTCGATTGGAGTTCGTTCGTCTCTCGATATCTGTAATAAATTGTAGCGCTCTTGTACTGTTTTCCCCACTTTTCCGTCCGAATGATCTGAAACCACCTCGCTTTTGTAGGTAAAATCTTCTTCGCAATATCGGATCGGCGAATTATTTTCAGACACAAGTCTTCGCGTCTACACGTCTACAATGAAAACTAAGCCATATGTTGATCGTACTTTGAGAAATGCCTGAGTCGTCTTTCCTTTTCCTGTTGTTGATAATGGATTTAATAAAGCCGGGTTTTTTTCACAAATGACCCGTATATAAATTTGTTCGATAAACAAACTTGGAGTAAAAATTGTTATTCTTCAGCAGCCGTTCCTGTTTCTACATTTACGTGTACAAAGATTACGTCGAAGTCAATGTTATTAAGCAAAGAAAAGGGGGTTAAAAAAAAGAACGGCCTGGATTTGAACCGAAAAAATAAAAAATAAAAAAAGAAGGACCATGTCGGATTTGAACTCACGCCCTCAATCCCGAAGATCAGATTTAAAAGTTAGCGCCTTAAGCCATTAGGCCACGAGCGCGCCGTGTGACGTCATGTCATCCCCCAACTCCACAAACAAACAATTAAATAAATAAATAAATAAATAAATAAATAAATATGACCGTAAAGGCCACACGAGAATTGCTCTCGCGTCAGCTCTTGGGGGACAGAATTAGAAACCCCGCTACGCGAGGCCTTCGGCCTCGCTTCACGAGGAACAAGAGTTTGTCTTTATACTACTGAGAACGAAACATTTAAAACAAAGGATAGTTTATAGCCTTCTCAACTCAATTTGGAGCCGATGTACATTTTCTATGCTATACTGATCTCTTGGAACATCAGGTCATGTATTGACCACTGGCACAGCGTGAAGAAGAGAGACCCTCGAAACGAGGCTGCACGGGCACTGACTTCACACTGACTTTCGGCTCTTGTTTCACCCGAAAAAACCGGCTGCTCTAGCAAGCTAATTGGTGGTCGGATTAGTGAAGTACATAATCAGGTATTTTGAGTCCCGTTTCTTATACCTTCCGAGATGAAAAAAACATACCTTTATTCTAGAATTCTGTGTAATTCATGTAATTCAACTCTTGGGTCAAAAAATAAATGGCAGCGGTGGGATTCGAACCCACGCCTCCGAAGAGACTGGTGCCTAAAACCAGCGCCTTAGACCACTCGGCCACGCTACCAGACGTGAAATAACAATTGAATGAAGTCAGCCAAAGACTGAGGCTGATAGCACAAACAAAAATATTTACCATTTATTTTTTCTGTCGTTTCAAAAATTAATAATGAAAATTAGCGAAATAAGATTACGACGTTTCGAAGCCATCTTGACTCCATTATCAAGTAAAAATGACGGTTGTAGCTCCCTTTCTCTGTTTTATTGCTGACAACGGTTTTATCAAGAAATGTGTTTTCCGCTAAAAAAAAACATATATCAGCTGGCAGCGGTGGGATTCGAACCCACGCCTCCGAAGAGACTGGTGCCTTAAACCAGCGCCTTAGACCACTCGGCCACGCTACCCGGACACATGACTTAGGGGCACTATCATGAGCATCACTTCGAAAAGTCAAAAGCCAAAAGATATATTTACAGCAATGCAAACCTAAAAATAATGGTCCAGTTTTTAAAAAAATTAACAATACTAGTGTACTGAAGCTATAATAGAAGTACTAACATGAGTTGCCCGTAGGAGCTTTTGATGTAAACTTGAAAAAGTCGGGCAGACTGTTTCAAGTTCTCCATGTGTCTTCTGTTTCAACTTCTCCTTTTACCTACTTTTGTTTCCTTTCGCTAATTACTATCAAGGTTCCGATTTCGGATTGTTATCATGCCGAGTTTTCCTTTAAAATTTTGCGCGGGAAATTGGCGCGCGGGCGTCCAGAATCTACGCCTTTGTACATTCTCGAGCATTTGACCGCGGTGAAGTCCGGAGGCGGTTAATATAGTCTATAAAAGGTAGATAAACGCCAAGGAAATTAATTACTGTGTTAATGCGCTTGTTGTTGTTGTTGTTTTTTTTGTTTGTTTTTTACGGAGTGTTCATTTCCGGCCACACACCATCGTCAGAAATAAATAAATAAATAATTATGACCTTAAACTCTAGACGAGATTGAATCCCGCCTGAGCTCTTTCGCGGACAAAATTATAAACCTGCAAGAGTTTGTCTTTATACTACTGAGAACGAAACATTTACAACGAAGGATAGTTTGTAGTCTTCTCAACTCAATTTGGAGCCGAGGTACATTTTCTATGCTATACTGATCTCTTGGAACATCAGGTCATGTATTGACCACTGGCACAGCGGGAGGCGTGAAGAAGAGAGATCCTCGAAACGAGGCTGCACGGGCACTGACTTCACACTGACTTTCGGCTCTTGTTTCACCCGAAAAAACCGGCTGCTCTAGCAAGCTAATTGGTGGTCGGATTAGCCGGGCTCCTCTGTAATATCCTGCGTTGATTAATATATAAATTTGAAGTACATAATCAGGTATTTTGAGTCCCGTTTCTTATACCTTCCAAGATAAAAAAAACCATACCTTTATTCTAGAATTATGTGTAATACAGGTAATTCAACTCTTGCGTCAAAAAAATAAATGGCAGCGGTGGGATTCGAACCCACGCCTCCGAAGAGACTGGTGCCTAAAACCAGCGCCTTAGACCACTCGGCCACGCTACCAGACGTAAAATAACAATTGAATGAAGTCAGCCAAAGACTGAGGCTGATAGCACAAACAAAAATATTTACCATTTCAGTAGTTTTTCTGTCGTTTCAAAAATTAATAATGAAAATTACCGAAATAAGATTACGACGTTTCGAAGCCATCTTGACTCCATTATCAAGTAAAAATGACGGTTGTAGCTCCCTTTCTCTGTTTTATTGCTGACAACGGTTTTATCAAGAAATGTGTTTTCCGCTAAAAAAAACATATATCAGCTGGCAGCGGTGGGATTCGAACCCACGCCTCCGAAGAGACTGGTGCCTTTAAACCAGCGCCTTAGACCACTCGGCCACGCTACCTGGTCACATGACTTAGGGGCACTATCATGAGCTTCACTTCGAAAGTCAAAAGCCAAAAGATGGTCGTTTCTAGCCTCCTCCGCAGGCAACTCCTGGGTCTCCGGGTCTGGGGCAAAAAAGGGGCAAAAACTCAGTCACCTTTTTGTCCTCCGTACCAGTCTCACTCGTGCCTTTATGTAAGAGTTGCCTGCGGAGGAGGCTAGGTCGTTTCTTGGTGTTGCGGATGTTGCCATCACCAAATGACGTAAAACAAAAGATTCAAAAGACAATAAACAATACCCACACCACAACACAATAGCTAACCAACAATGGTTTCAGCAATACCATAAACACCTGTTTCCATACAGTCATGGTAACTAACACTCGTGAAAGTTTGGGAGAACTCGAAATTGCTGTGGAAACACTCGCTTGCGGCTCGTGTTTCCAGAGCATTTCTCGTTCTCCCAAATTTCACTCGTGTTACCATAACTCTATGGAAACACTATTTGGTATATATTACTGAGAAAATTACTTCATTATGATTGGCTGAGAGCAGGCAAGTTTATCATTAATTTTTAATTTGCACTGCAGTGCAAATTAATTCCCGCGAGTTAATTTATAATAAATGAGTAATCGTATGAAAGCTCGAGCAATTGAGGATACACTACTCGTGATAGTTGAAAATTCTTTCAAATTGCATGCACTCGACTAAAGGCTCTTACAATTTTGAGAGAATTTTGAAATATCACTTGCTTTCATACGAATAACAATAGAGCGTTTTCACTCAGTCCTGTGGGAATTAAATGACAAAGGCCGTGGCAGCCATGTTGGTATCCCTAACAAAATAAGTTAATAAAAATTATTTTGTACAGGGACACTAATATGGCGGCTATGACGTCAAGTGAAAACACTCTATACTAAAAACGTCTCGACCGACCGACTAAACGAACAATTAAAAGCTAATTTCCACTAAGAACCTATTCTTACTCAACACACTAGATTTTTACCCGTCTAGTATAAAATGATCATATCATGGATACTTCTATTTCAGATTTCCACCTGTTTGTTTTGGCTTGTGTTGTATTTCAGCTCAGTGATGTCTACCTAAATGAAAACTCGTGAATGAAAGACAGAGTGGAAAAAGCTAAGAGGGGAACAAACGAAAAAATATGAAGAAGTTAAGGAAAAATACCTCGAGTGTAAAGAAATTAGCGCAAACCAAGTGTTGAAAAGAACTCGGGCGTTAAAATAACCAGAAGAAACAACAATAGCCCACCAAACCTTATTCACTGAAGGTATAAATAATGAAGACGCTCGTGGGCACTCTATAAACATATATCAGTTATCAAGATAACCGTCAAAAATGAGACGCAATTACCACGAGTAACATGTTAAAAAGACGTTTGTCAATACGAAAACGGGCATTAACATTTTAGAACCCAACCAACAGCTTTTAAGTAAACTTGAGACCAAGGCAGATCGTGGTAAAGGTCGTGATCTTCTTCAATGGTTGATTAACTGCATGAATATCTGAATTTGTTTGCCTAAAAAATTGTCATGCTACACCGGTGGGAAATATGGTTTATTATCATCCAGGTTGTTGCGTTTCAACTGCGAGCCGGAGCTTCGATATACGACGAATTTAAGGTTAACTGGTGTCGACAGCGGAAATGGAGGCTAGACTGGCAAAGTCTGCAAAAACCATGTCAGAATCTTAATTACAGAAGGAACAACGGACAACTATACAAAACGTAAGTTGTTATTAACCTGAAGAAAACTACGCGCATTCAGCGATGATAAGGGATATAACAAGCTGTATTAACCGAGTAGGGAACCGGTAGAAAATCAGATATCATAACTCCCTTAGGTAAAACTTATATTGGTCACAGATTCTTGTCAGCTCCAATTGGCTCCTTGTCAACTTTGTTGTCGCTTAAACCGGCCTGAAGAATAGGCTCAATTAAACGCCTAAAGCTACTCGCTCAGAATGCTCCTTATCACTGACTGGCAGTACTGGTCTGAAGAGGTTTAAAGTTTAAGTTAAGTCTGTCTACAAACAGGCCGCCGGCGCCGGCACGAGGCGCCGACTTGAACTATCGCTACTCTCTTGGATGGGATGCTAGCCCATTGCAGGTGGTCCCCAGCATTTTTGTCAGGTACCCCTGACAATTCACCTGGATCCAATATTTATACTCCTGGGTGGAGAGAGGCACTGTGAGAGTTAAGTGTCTTGCCCAAGAGCACAACACATTGACCCCGTCCAACGCTCAAATTAACTCCGACCGCTCGATCCGGAGTCCAAAGCGCTTTAAAGGTCAAATGCAACGAAATTTGGCATTTTTTTCTTTTGTCGCGAAAACCGTTCTTTATACTAGCATCAATCATACTCAACCCTCAAAAGCTGGTTTGGGGCGATTTGTGGCGCTTATAAGGCACGAAATTCGATAATTTCCGAGAATTTCCGACGGCTTAACGAAAACGAACCAGGAATGACCGCGCTTGGAATGGAAACGAATTTGCTGTTTTTGTGATGTCATATGTGGTGAGCTTGTTTTCACGCGCGTGTTTTCGCGCGTGTTTTCAGCAATGTGTGAAGGTCGATGCGAAGAAGCTTTTACTGAATTTCTCACATTATATTGCTCTCTTATCATTGACACGTGAATGGAGAACTACGCAGTGGAATTAAAGAACTTGCATTTCTTCAAAAAGGCGAGTGCTCATTTGATTTTAACCGACAGAATTTGAGTTTGTTGTTGTTTTGGAAATCCTGAGTTTCACCGCCCGCGCTAGCTAGCTTACCGTTTTTAAATTACAATCTCCGTGTTTAGACTCAATTCCTTAGTTTTAATCATTTGCTTTTCGTTTCTCCTTTTTACTAAACAAACCTTCCGTTAAGTTTCATTCAAGAAAGAACCTAGTGATACCGGTAGTCCCGGCAGAAAATAATTCTCGACAAGTATAAATTTAAGCAGTTGCGCCGTACGTTGAAATTGAATGCAAGCTTGAATTGAGTTTGGCGAGGCTTCGCATAAAATGAAAATTGTAAATTGCCACCCGACCGAATGCAAAAATTAGATTAACACGGGAAATGAAATTGTAGAAAACTGAGGAAACAGTTTTACTCGAAAAATGCTTTCAAGAGTATTGAAGAATGAAGATTGTCCTAAACCTTGCCGGTTGCGACTTTGAATGGTTTTTGTGTTAATTTGAAATAGCTTCTCATTTCAGCTGCTTTTAGTGGCGAAATTCTGTTCGAGGCAACATCGTCTTTCTTCGCAGCTACGTACCTTTCTGTAATTACATATTTCGGTATAAGAAATTAATCGTCCGAGTTTCTTGTTATTTGGATTCATTAACTTAAGTTTTATTTCTTCGGTAGTGTTTATAGCGACCTTGCGTTAATAAAAACAGATTTTCAAGATTTCTAGCATCACAGAACCATGCACGTAGGAAACAAATAAAAACGTTATTTGCCGGCCTTTTTATTGTAGGCTCAGATTAGAAAAGTAGTTTGTGGATCTGTCAAATCAAATACAAGAAAGTTTGCGACTTTATACCTTTAGCTTTCTGCGTTTCGCAAAGGCTGAACGTCGTGAACGACCGCATTCCGTGTTCGTCGTGCTTTTTGAAGGACATTCTTGGTCAATACTTCGCTTTATTCCATGGTTGAAAATGGTCGGTAAAGCATCAGCTTTCAGTCGAAGTCTTCGTGGCTTGAACTGAGATCCCAGGTGTGCCCTAACTCAAGATTCTGCTCGAAGCTTTCAGGGGAGAAATGCACGGAGCAAAGACGAGATGCTGCAGTTGGCGTGAAATCTTTCCTTTTCATTAATCTCACCCATTCCTTGCATCTCTTCTCGTCTTTAGGGAATGTAAAAAAGCTTACGCCTGATTTTGAACAGTTACTACAGTTAAAAGCAGCACAAAACACCATACTTGTTGATGTTTTGAAACTGCAGAATTTTGTAATTCTCGCTCTTCTCGCGGACTCGCGCGTGTATGTGACGTCATATGTGGTGAGCTTCCCATTTCCGATAATTTTCCGAAGTTTGCCCGAACGCTTCCGTTTGTGGAAGCGAAAAAAAAGGCGGTTTTGAAAGTCGAATATCTCGACGACGTTTTGTCCAAATCGTTTCAAACTTAAGAATATGATTATTCATAATATTCCCTATTATTTCGACTTAAAACTAATCTTTCTAAAATTGTGTTGCATTTGACCTTTAAGCAAATCCTGTGGGCTTTTCATATGCACTCAAGCTTATTTCCCAAAATAATTAACGTATAGGCTTTTAACAACAATTTATACGAATTATAAAAAGACTCGAGAAGTCCCTTCCACACAAGCAAGTTTTCCTTGACAAGGAACATTGACAATTTGTATTTGCTCGTGTGGATAAACAACAAATTTAATTTGACAAGATTTTCCTTGACAAATTTTATTTGCTCGTGTGGACGATAAACAATTTTTCTTTGACAATTTTTCTTTGTAACAACAATAATATTGTACAGCGGATTATCATCTTTAATAGGACCCAGGTCGCGAGCAACAAGAAAAGGCCGCTGGGCACCAGGGATTCCGATATTTTCCTTGTTGCACGTCCACACGAACAAGTTTCGCAATTTGGCAATTTTTCCTTGACAAGTATCCTTGTTCAAAAACTGGCGTGCCAGTTTTGAACAAGGACACTTGTCAAGGAAAAAATTGCCAAATTTCCCTTTCCACACGAGTAAGGAAAAATTGTCAAGTGAAAACTTGTCAAGCTTGCTCGTGTGGAAGGGGCTAGACTCCATTAACTTTGCTCTTGAACTCAGTCAGAAGTGTATAGAATCTCTGTGCTAAAATGATGTACCGTGTGCCATGAAATTTTCGCGGGAACTCATTTTCGCGAATTTCGCGGGTTTTCCAACGATCCGCGAAAATTAGATCCGGTAAAAATAAACTCCTGCGTAAAAAAATTCCGCGAAAATTTACTCTATTTATTTAGAGTGCTGGATTTCAATTAAATTGACTACAAACAATA